TTCTTGATTACCATATGCAAGAATCTGAAGACAATCTGTTGTAATGGCCAGAAACTTAACATTTGTCTTGTTGAGCAAGGCAACCATTTTTTGTAGACCTCCAGCTAGACGGACAGCCATTTTGGCACCTTCCTGATGCAACAGAAGATTGTGCAGAGTAGTAATAGCATAGAAAAGTACAGAATCCACTGGAGAACTATAAAGAAAAGCTCAAATTAACAAATATCCTGTCCAAGACCAACAAATAATACATATTTTATTCTTCACATTTTAGAACTGGCCAACTCTCACACAAAGGGACTCTGGGCAGTGTACAATAAAATAAGAAGTATATAAAATTCAAGCGACGCAAGTGATGTTAAAAGTTAGTTCAAAGGTGGGGAGAGGGTTTTCAGGGTGCTAACCAGCCCCATGGCTGTGCCCCAAGCAAGGCTGCAAAGCCATGTTTTCACCCCTTTCCGGAAAGCCAGAAGAGTGGGGGCCTGCCATGCCACAACTCTGGGGAGAGAGTTCCATAGGGCGGGGGCAATGACAAGGAAGGCTCTCTTCCTGGACCCTGGCAGTCAAATTCTTTGGCTGACAGGGTCCACAACATACCTTCTTGCCTGACCAGGTGGGACATAGATACATCAAATCGATTATTTACATACCCAAGCATTTTAACCAGAGCAGGAATACCTCCTGATTTGAAGATTGCCAGTAAGCCTTCACGATGATGAGACAGGTTATGTAGTGTACCTGCAGTACAACGGGCTGTTTCTACATCATTTGTATTCTGCATAGTACGCACAATGGCAGAAACCATTTGAGGAGAACGCATGATAGCATGACGAGAGGCTTCTTTTTTGGACAACTGATGGACCATAACTGATGCCTTGTTCACCACAACCTAATTAATGCATTGAAATTCAACATTTTCAAAATCCAAAACTGAGACCACTAAGTGAGATGGTTAAAAATACAAACATTTTTATGTGATCAGGAAACTCTCAAACTTATGCCTCTTAGAGATCACAGTAAATGTAAGCTGAATTAGCAAGCACATACCTGGTCCTCATCATTTAACAATTTGGTCAATTCTGGGATGGCACGAGTTGCNAGTGTATGGTGTGTTGTTTTTTAAATCTATCTTTTCTTTTTCCCTGTATTTTATTTTTGATTTTATTTCTGTATTGTAAGCCGCCCGGAGTCCTATGGGATTGGGCGGCATATAAATGGTATTAAATTCAAATTCAAATATAAGTTGTACAATTCATACATCTGGACTGTGGGGTAGGATGGGCAAGACAAAAGCCTTTTCTTACAAAGAAAAACATTCAAGGCCGGCTACATTTTGCAAATGCTTACATCAACTGTGAGAAAAGCATGTGGGGAAAATGGGTTATGGTCTGATGAAACCAAGGTGGAACATGTGGCCATAATTCCAAAAAGTGTTTGGTGCAAAAGCAACACTACACATCACCAAAAGTACACCATACACACAGTGAAGCAAGGTGGTGGCAGCATTATGCATTGGGGCTGTTTTTCTTCAGCTGGAACTGGGGCTTTAGTCAAGGTGGAGGGAATTATGAACAGTTCCAAATATCAGTCAATGTTGGCACAAAACCTTCAGGCCTCTGCTAAAATGCTGAGGATGAAGAGGAATTTCACCTTCCAACATGACAAGGACCCAAAGCATACCTCCAAATCAAAAGAATGGCTTCACCAGAAGATGATCTAAGTTTTGGAATGGCCCAGCCAGAGCCCAGACCTAAGTCCAATTGAAAATCTATGGGGTGACCTGAAGAGGGCTGTGCACAGGAGATGCCTTTGCACTCTTGACAGATTTGGAGCACTTTCAGAAGGAAGAGTGGGCAAAGATTCCCAAGGCAAGATATGCCATATTGATAAGGCTCCTACCCCAAAATGCTGAATGCTGTCATAAAATCAGAAGGTGCTTCAACAAAGTACAATGCAGTGAGACATGTACAGAGCAGTACGTTGGAGAAACAAAATAACCACAAACGCACAGCACAACATAGGAAAGCAAACCCTTCAAGACAAGATTCAGCAGTCTATTTGCATTTGAAAGACAAAGACCACTCTTTTCAAGACAGCAAAGTCCACATTCTGGACAGAGGACTGCTGGTTTGAAAGAGGGATCAAAGAGGTCATCTACATTAAGGTTGAACAGCGCTCTCTCAACAGAGGGGAGAGATAGGACACCACCTATCTCCTGTGTACAATACAATCCTTTCAGCAGTTCCAAGAAGGCTCCACACGCATTTGCATTATTCAGGTGACCCTGAGGGCACAGATACACCTTCAAGTGGCCTCAATGACTCTCAGAAAGAATGCTAACGAGCAGATGACTGCAAGGAATATAAATATTTCCATTCTCCACCATTTGGTCAGAGCTGAGGAAGCTTCTTGGATGAGAAGTGAAATGTCTTCAAGGAAAGTCCAGTTGCCTTTTGGGACAACCATGACCTGGATGACTGAGAATCTCCATAGACATTCAGCTTACCAATACTTTATTCTAGCAAGTAAATTATCAGTTTAATTACATGGGATCAAAGTCTGAAAAGGAGAACCAACTGCAACTTCTACCATTCTAATTTGCAATAATTGTTCTAATTCTCAGGAATACTACCAGCTCTTTTTAAAGCTGAACTGGAGACCTATGTAAATAGCTGACGAGTCAGCAGGGGGTTGGACTAGAAGACCTCCAAGGTTCCTTCCAACTCTGTTATTCTGCATTTGAACAATGAGATATCAAATCTAAGATTATATTTCAGCCACTGAAAAAGAATGCAGTTTTGACAACCATGTTCTTAAGAGTTACATTTTTTCTGGCTACTATACCAACAATAGTTTATTAATGACTACACACATTTTATCGTAGCATGAAGATCATGCCAGAGCACATCTTCAGACACTAACTCCATACCCACCAATTGTGCAAAAGGCCATTATGAATTTTGGTAGTTATTGTATCAAGTGTGCAAAACTACCAAATAGCAAAATATTATTCCTGTATCTCTTTACAGTCACCTGTGGGTCATCTGGAGTACTGCAGCCTATGTGAGAGTCCCAGTTACAAATGTGTCCCACATACATACAACCCCCCCTCCCCATACTGAGATGTCAATTATATTAGGGATGTTATCTAAGTTTATCTTAACACAAAGATTTTTAAGAATCTTACACAGTACATGGGAGTGATGGGTGGTAAACCTCAAGACCTTAGATCTTATACTGTTTATAAAAGTGCCATTACAGTAGCCCTCACTTAACAACAGTAATTGACACTGCAATTTCCATCACTGAGCAATGCAGTCATAAAGAGCAATGCCACATGACTGCACCACTTAGTGACAGAAATTCTGGCACTTCTGGTTGCTGTTAAGGAAACTGTAGCTGCTCCGGCCCTGTGGAACGATCTACCCGCAGAGATCCGGACCCTTCCCACTCTCTCGGCCTTCCGAAAAGCCACTAA